AGTCACAGAGATGTTAGGAAGTTTTCTTTTAGCGTGAGAGTAGTGGGGAAATGGAATGCACTTCAGGAACAGGTTGTGGAAGCAAATACTATTCATAATTTTAAAACCAGGTATGATAGGGAAATGGGACAGGAGTCATTGCTGTAAACAACCGATGCTCGAAAGGCGGGATCCAAGAGTCAATGCTCGATCCTGCAGACACAACTAGGTGAGTACAACTAGGTGAGTACACACATTCACACACTTGCAGCATCCTGTGAGGTAAATGCACATTTAAACTGGAAGTGTTATTGACCAGTGATTTCTACAAGAGACTTCACACCTATGACTCAAGTCAACAGGTATTAAAAACAGCAGCCATAAAACTTGTAAGATTAGGCTCACTGTTATTCCTATGTTCTTCTAAGCTCATTTACACTTAGCAATTGAGGTATTCTTTACCATTGTCCCTTGTTATATATACGACCAGCGATAGGGGCCAGATTCACGAAGCAGTTACACGAGCACTTACGAACGTGTACATCTTTCCTCAATCTTTGACGGCTTTGGTTACATTTATTAAACAGTTTACAAGCGTGAAAACTTGCCAGTCAACTGTTGTTATTGTTATAAACAGCCTCCTGGTGCTTCGGAGCTCATTAACTGTTTAATAATTGTAAACAAAGCCGCCAAAGATTGAGAAAAGATGGACAGGTTCGTAAGTACTAGCGTAACTGCTTCGTGAATCAGGGGCCAGATTCACGAAAGTACTTACGCAAGCACTTACGAACGTGTCCATCTTTCCTCAATCTTTGACGGCTTTGGTTACATTTATTAAACAGTTTACAAGCATGAAAACTTGCCAATCAACTGTTGTTATTGTTATAAACAGCCTCCTGGTGCTTCCGAGCTCACTAGCTGTTTAATAATTGTAAACAAAGCCGCCAAAGATTGAGAAAAGATGGACAGGTTCGTAAGTGCTTGCGTAACTGCTTCGTGAATCTGGCCCCAGGTTCGTAAGTGCTTGCGTAACTGCTTCGTGAATCTGACCCCCAGGTTCGTAAGTGCTTGCGTAACTGCTTCGTGAATCTGGCCCTTACTGTTAGCCTTGTATAAGTTAGCCTAAGTGACCTTTCTACAGGCGAGTCCACATCACAAGGGCGACCTTATGCCAGCTGGACGACAAGTTCCAGGTGGAACCTGGAGAAGGTCATCTGAGGGACCAGTACCTGGCGGACCACAAGGTTGAGACCTTTCTCATCGTCTCCAGTAAGGTCAGTACTATCTTAAGTCTCCGGGAAGGTCAGTACTATCTTCCTTGTCTTCAGTAAGGTCAGTACTATCTTAAGTCTCCGGGAAGGTCAGTACTATCTTCCTTGTCTTCAGTAAGGTCAGTACTATCTTAAGTCTTCAGTAAGGTCAGTACTATCTTAAGTCTCCAGGAAGGTCAGTACTATCTTCCTTGTCTTCAGTAAGGTCAGTACTATCTTAAGTCTTCAGTAAGGTCAGTACTATCTTAAGTCTTCAGCAAGGTCAGTACTATCTTAAGTCTTCAGTAAGGTCAGTACTATCTTAAGTCTCCAGTAAGGTTAGTACTATCTTCCTTAAGTCTCCAGTAAGGTCAGTACTATCTTAAGTCTTCAGCAAGGTCAGTACTATCTTAAGTCTCCAGTAAGGTCAGTACTATCTTCCTTAAGTCTCCAGTAAGGTCAGTACTATCTTCCTTGTCTCCAGTAAGGTCAGTACTATCTTCCTTAAGTCTCCAGTAAGGTCAGTACTATCTTCCTTGTCTCCAGTAAGGTCAGTACTATCTTCCTTAAGTCTCCAGTAAGGTCAGTACTATCTTAAGTCTTCAGCAAGGTCAGTACTATCTTAAGTCTCCAGTAAGGTCAGTACTATCTTTCTCAAGTCTTCAGCAAGGTCAGTACTATCTTAAGTCTCCAGTAAGGTCAGTACTATCTTCCTTAAGTCTCCAGTAAGGTCAGTACTATCTTAAGTCTCCAGGAAGGTCAGTACTATCTTAAGTCTCCAGGAAGGTCAGTACTATCTTCCTTGTCTCCAGTAAGGTCAGTATTATCTTAAGTCTCCAGGAAGGTCAGTACTATCTTCCTTGTCTCCAGTAAGGTCAGTACTATCTTCCTTGTCTCCAGTAAGGTCAGTACTATCTTCCTTGTCTCCAGTAAGGTCAGTACTATCTTCCTTGTCTCCAGTAAGGTCAGTACTATCTTTCTCAAGTCTCCAGTAAGGTCAGTACTATCTTCCTTAAGTCTCCAGTAAGGTCAGTACTATCTTCCTTGTCTCCAGTAAGGTCAGTATTATCTTAAGTCTCCAGTAAGGTCAGTACTATCTTCCTTGTCTCCAGTAAGGTCAGTACTATCTTCCTCAAGTCTCCAGTAAGGTCACCAACCACTTGGGCTGGACGGTAGAGCGACGGTCTCGCTTCATGCAGGTCGGCGTTCAATCCCTAACCGTCTCCAAGTGATTGACCACCATTCCTTTCCCCCGTCCCATCCCAAATCCTTATCCTGACCCCTTCCCAGTGCTATATAGTCGTAATGGCCTGGCGCTTTCCCCTCAAAGGAATTGATGTTCCCATGGATGACGGCTGTTTAAAGTCATCGATGTGATTTATTGACATTTGAAGTCATATGGGTATTATCTTCAGTCCATTTTGCAATCTTAGAGCAACTGAAGAAACCCACAAGGGCCGTGACGAGGATTCGAACCTACGTCCAAGAGCATCCCAGACGCTGCCTTAAGCTACGACATGGTATAAGAATTGTAACCAGAAATTCTACCGAATTGACTTGGATTTTTTGATACATCACGCTATTGGGATTTGTGTGTGCTTACAGCAACTGTTTATACCTACACACTAACATTGGTTCATCTCCCTATTGAAGAGGTGCATCTTCTCTCTCTCCCACTGGTGGAACAGGAGGAGGAGGGTGACGGTGGGACGGTAGGAGGCGCTGTAGGGGAGGAGAAGCCCGTCCGTCTCAAGCAAGCAGCTAAGATGACCAAGTATGTGGAGTGCTGGGGCGCTGATAAACCCTTCGCCTCCCTGTCTGAGACCACCCTCGCTAAGAACATCAGACTCACGGTTAGTTTGTCTGTGTGTGTCTCTGGTTCTGTGGGTGACTGTGTCTGGTTCTGTGGGTGACTGTCTCTCTGGGTCTGTGTCTCTGGTTCGGTATGTGACTGTCTCTCTGGGTCTGTGTCTCTGGTTCTGTGGGTGACTGTCTCTCTGGGTCTGTGTCTCTGGTTCGGTGTGTGACTGTCTCTCTGGGTCTGTGTCTCTGGTTCGGTATGTGACTGTCTCTCTGGGTCTGTGTCTCTGGTTCGGTGTGTGACTGTCTCTCTGGGTCTGTGTCTCTGGTTCGGTGTGTGACTGTCTCTCTGGGTCTGTGTCTCTGGTTCGGTGTGTGACTGTCTCTCTGGGTCTGTGTCTCTGGTTCTGTGTCTCTGGTTCTGTGTCTCTGGTTCGGTGTGTGACTGTCTCTCTGGGTCTGTGTCTCTGGTTCGGTGTGTGACTGTCTCTCTGGGTCTGTGTCTCTGGTTCTGTGTCTCTGGTTCGGTGTGTGACTGTCTCTCTGGGTCTGTCTCTGGTTCGGTGTGTGACTGTCTCTCTGGGTCTGTGTCTCTGGTTCGGTGTGTGACTGTCTCTCTGGGTCTGTGTCTCTGGTTCGGTGTGTGACTGTCTCTCTGGTTCGGTGTGTGACTGTGTCTCTTTGGGTCTGTCTGCATATGTGTGTGTGTGTGTAATTCCCTAAGTGTAGTTACAGGATGAGAGCTACGCTCGTGGTGTCCCGTCTTCCCAGCACTCTTTGTCATATAACGCTTTGAAACTACTGACGGTCTTGGCCTCCATCACCTTCTCACCTAACTTGTTCCAACATTAGCAATGGAAAAATATGCCACATTTGTACTCTACAAGTCTATGAGGTGTTAAATTGGTACCCTCAGTTGACCAGACCACACACTAGAAGGTGAAGGGACGACGACGTTTCGGTCCGTCCTGGACCATTCTCAAGTCGATTCGAGAATGAATCGACTTGAGAATGGTCCAGGACGGACCGAAACGTCGTCGTCCCTTCACCTTCTAGTGCAGCCCGTCCTGCAAACAAAGATCCAAAAGTGATTCCATGCACCCGCCAAACCCCCTGTTTTTTAATGAAAACCGGTTTACACACGACTCACAACTGCTGACGTTCGAACATATCCGGAACAAGTGCTTCACTGACGAATTTTGTTCGAATCACAACGCTATAAATGCTTCACCCACGTACTACAAATACAAATAATCGCCAACAGAACCTAAACACCTAACCTAACCTATGCCTATATATACACAATATGCCAATATATTATAATATTAATTTATACTTGAGAAAATTCCCGTTTTGAATGAACATCATGTTAAAATTTATGAATGCGTCTGTGGGTTCGACCGCTGAATGTAATGGACTCGAGTCGAGGACGGGTTGTCTAGTGTGTGGTCTGGTCAACATACTTTAGCCACGTCATTGTGACTCCTCGCCTGCATTTGGTACCCTCAGCCATTTGGCAATTCATAGGCGGGGTCCAGGAGCTTGAGTTCATCTGTACAAACAACGGCTAGAACACACATAGTTTACAGGTTAATTTAAAACTCCTGGACATATTGCCGCTCTCAGTGTTCCCGCGTAAATTGACAACGGTTGTCAACTGAATACATCTTTCCGCGCCAAAATTTGAAAGTGGAATTCCAGACAGTTTTGTATTTAATACACACCCGGTATTTAATTAATATTGTTTATTTACTAATTTATATTGCAAAAATCCCTTTGTTTGCCATATTTGAAACTCGAACTTGTCTTTGCATTGCTTTTTCTGACGTAGTCTACTAATCCATTAAACACGAGACGTCATTAAATTCAAATTCAAATGTTTATTCAGGTAAAGTACATACATACATGAGGTTATACAGAAAGTGATAGATTTATAGATAGAGCTAGTACGCTAGTTAAATATTAAAGCCCCGAAATGTTGAAGTTTTCTATACAATAACCTCGATAAGTTAGGGCGGTGGTGGGGGGTTACTTGAATGCCTTTGTTTCTTGTTAGGCGAAACACCTGCATCATTTACGGAGCGACAGTGAGAAAACGGGCTAATATATCTCTCCCTTGTGAAACCTTACCCTACTATAGTTTACCCTTGGAACACGACCCGCCAATCAGTTAACAACCAGGTCCCCAATTACTGCTGGGCGACCAGAGACGAACAGTGAAAGATAGGCAACAATTAATCCTGACCAGAACTCGAACCCAGACCAAAAACTCTTCAAGTTCAGGCCGAGTGCATTACCACTGCACCACTAGACACACACACTTTCCACCAACCCGTTCTCGCACTTTCTTACAGTCAATATTGACTTATTAAATACGTGCATGTGTGACATACTAAACATACTAGTTTACCTTGAAAAGCTTCATAGAAAACACCGACCTTACCTAACCTTCTTAGTATGTTAAGATAAGCATCTTATTGCTTTGTAATTACAATTATTACTTAACCTATACCTATAATAGGTTAAGTAATAATTGTAATTACGAAGCAATAAGATGCTTATCTTAACATACTAAGAAGGTTAGGTAAGGTCGGTGTTTTCTATGAAGCTTTTCAAGGTAAACTAGTATGTTTAGTATGTCACATATGCACATATTTAATAAGTCAATATTGACTATACGAAAGTGCGAGAACGGGTTGTTTCCACACGCTCTCTAAATGTAGATTAAATAACCATTTAAAAAAAAAAGCCTCAATAATCTCCATTAAAGTCGTGGAAGTGCTGACGTTGCCACCACAATTCTTTTGTGAAAAACTGAAAATCGTGTTTTCTTATTTGTCTTCAGATCGTGGCACTGATTGAGTCCAGCCTCCTGCCGCCGGGGCCCATCCTCTTCGACTGTCGGTGAGTGGGAGAGAGATAAGTTAGGGAGGCCAGGCAAGGGAGAAGAATAGGCAAGGAGATGGAGGATAAAGGGGGGAGAGAGAGAGAGTTGTTGTTGTTGTCGTAGATTTAAGGGCGACGACAATCGTATGAATGGATAAAATGGAGAGAGAGCGAGAGAGGAGAGAGAGGAGAGGGAGGAGAGAGAGAGAGAGATAGAGATAGAGAAAAAGAGAGAAAAGAGAAAAAGAGAGAGAAAAGAGAGAGACTGAAGAGAGAGAGAGAGAGAGAGAGAGAGAGAGAGAGAGAGAGAGAGAGAGAGAGAGAAAGAGAGAGAGAAGAGAGAGAGAAGAGAGAGAGGGAGGAGAGAGAGAGGAGAGAAGAGAAAGGGCAGCAGGAAAGACAGAAGTCAGAAATAGACAAATGGTGAAGGATTTATTTTATTTATTTATATATACAAGAGTTCTTACAGTCTTGTACAGCCACTAGCACGCAGTGTGTTTCGGACAAGTCTTTAATCCTAATTTTCACATACATACACCTCCAGGAAGCAGCCCGTAGCAGCTGTCTAACTCCCAGGTACCTATTTACTGATAGGCGAACATGGGCATCAGGGTGAAAAACTCTGCCCATTTGTTTCCCCTTCAGTCGGGGATCGAACCCAGACCCTTAGGACTACGAATCCCGAGCGCTGTCCACTCAGCCATGAGGCCCCCAAATTATTTTATTTTGTGGCTCCCAAGGATATTGGCTATGTGGGGCCTGACGACTGAGTGGACAGCGCTCGGGGTTCGTAGTCCTAATCGGGTTTGATCCCCGGGGTAGGTGGAAACCGAATGGGCCGAGTTTCTTTCACTCGGATGCCCCTGTTCACCTAGCAGTAACTAGGTACCTGGGAGTTAGACAGCTGTTATAGGCTGCTTCCTGGGGGTGTGCACACATAAAAACTAGGATTAAGGACTGGCCCGAAACGCTATGCATGCTAGTGGCTGTACAATTATATAAGAACTCTTGTATGTATATTTTATATATATAAATAATAAACTAAAAATGTGAAAGGGAGAGTTATGTTGGGGGGTGGGGGGGGGGATGAAATAACTGGGCCACAAACCGCCATGAATGTTGGTTGATCATGAATCTTGTGTCAACATGTTTCCATGATTAATCAACACGTATAGTCGGTCGCTGGTACAGTGGTCGTGGTGACATTGTTGTTGGTGGAAGAACCTGGTGGCGTGCGTTGGAACCCTGAGGGATCTGATCAAATTTCTGTTATTTTTGACTCGAGTAACATTGTATTTCAGTCATATACAGTATATTACAATGAAAACTATCACTTCGTAAGCAATTGTTTTGGGAAATATTAACTATTTCACGAAAATTCTTCTTGTTGGGGACCTCTGGCTATTAGGTACGACATACATTTTTATAATAATAAAATATATACATCACAGACATACACACAAGAGGTCTTTATATTCTTGTACAGGCACCAGCACCCATAGCATTTCGGGAAAGTCCTTAATCCTAATTTTCCCCGGAATACAACCCGCCGAATCGTTTAACCACCTTCCTCATTGTCTTGAGACCAATCACTGCTGGGTGAACAGAGGCTTTGGTCAAGGATTGGCACCAAGTCAATCCTCCCTGGCCAGGATACGAACCCAGACCAAAGCAGTTGCAAAGCGCCGAGCGAGTGTCTTATCACTACGACACGGGGACTGTAAACTTATCTTGAATGTGAAGTACCCACAAACGGGATTAAGCTTTAGTTAATTTTGCATCTACTTTGCCTACATACGAATTAAAAAAAACTCACGTACATCCTATAATTACATGTGCAAACATATTAATATTTTTGCGTAGAAGAATACTATAGATAGCTGCAATTCAAGACCTCACTAGTGTAAGTAAACACATGTACATTAAAAATATATTTTTTATTCAAGAGTATAAACTTTGAATAATGTATAGTCGCCTTATAAAACATTCCCTAATAATAAAACAAATAACTTTAACAGTTTTCAACTTGTGTAGCAACACTTGACATACAGAAATACTCATTTCTAATACTGTAGAAAATATAACATTTATCTTTTCCATAAGAAATTATATACAGTACTATACAGCTGGAGTTTGTCCTAATGTCCATAGGTTACCTTACCTTGAGGTTACCTTGAGGTGCTTCCGGGGCTTAGCGTCCCCGTGGCCCAGTCGTCGACCTGGCAACCAGGAGGCCTGGTCGACGACCGGGCCGCGGGGACGCTAAGCCCCGGAAGCACCTCAAGGTAACCAAGGTAAGGTAACCTATGGACATTAGGACAAACTTCAGCTGGCTAAATAATCATCAGGACATATGTGAGGACCTATGACAAGCCCCCACCGGCTTCCTGGCCTCGTTAAGGCCACTAGTGAGATGGTGGCCCTCAGGTAATTCATAAGAAAAAAATGTCTGCATTTCTGACAGCAACTACTGAACATTTTAAATTTAAACTCAATAAAACAGTCTCAAGATCAGGGTTCCCATGCAAATTTTTGCATTCTTCTCGCTAAATTATTTAATGTTTATAACAAAAAGGCAGGAAAATGTGAACCGTGCGCACAAAGTAACGAGGATATTGTCAAATGCTAGCAAGGGAAATTACAATGCAAAAAACATGGACTTTAAATTTACAGTATAAACAAAAAATCAACAAACTGGAAGCAACATTTTGCCACAGTTTTAAAAATGAAGAAATCTAATAGTAGCCACCTGGAGGGTAAACATTCTATTTGCCAAGAGTAAGTCACAGTGTGGTTGTAAACAATTAACCCAATCAACACACATGAAAAAACAACACAAGTTGCAAACAAGGAGTAAAAGTAACGTGCTTGAAATATGTTGACCAGACCACACACTAGAAAGTGAAGGAACGACAATATTTCGGTCCGTCCTGGACCATTCTCAGGTCGATTGTGTCGACTTGAGAATAGTCCAGGACGGACCGAAACGTCGTCGTCCCTTCACTTTCTAGTGTGTGGTTTTGTCAACACAAGTTGCAACTTTATTAGGGTCCAGGATGGGCCAAAATGTTGTTGCATTCCTTTCTTTCCATACATGAAGGTTGGTTACTCGTAAATATATTACATTTTTTCCCTATTTTACAAAATGACTACAGGAACCCTATAGGTTAATAACATGTTATTAACCCTTAGACAGCTGTTATCGGCAATTTTTGATTGACAGGGTAATGCAGTTATCATATGAAGGTTACAAAAATTATTGTCTGGGTTTTACATGCATGATGCAAATATGGATATAATAGGTCTATGTGGATGCAGTGGAGTTTACTTCGACCCGTTAAGTAATCCTGCGACCATTTCATGGTACAAATGCGGTTATTGTCATGAAATTATTAGGGGAGTGCAGTCATCATATGATGATTTAAACAATTATTGGTTTACATGTGTGTGATGCAAATGTGGATATAAAAGATCTCAGTGGATGCAAATTAAGAAAAAAAAAGTGATAGAACAATCGGTGAAACATTAGAGAACAAATATGGAAGTGTCGGTAAAATCGAGCGCCAAGCGTTGACAGGTGCCAGACGCAGGCTTGCAGAGCACCTCCACTCAGTGAAACAATAAATATACACAAATTGTCCTGTTTTTTCTTAGATTTCGCATAGAAATTAATTCTATAATGAAAATATTTTTTGTTGATCTTTTTTTTTTTGTGCATGTGTATGACCATAGCTGCTGTCTAAGGGTTAAAATACACAAATTTGTTATACAAAGATCAATATTATTTAAGGCATTATTTTCCCACTGGATATCACAGAATGGATTAAGTTATAAAAGTGGGATACCACTTGTGGTTGGACATTGGAGGACCCTTAGGCTCCGAGAAAAGAATAAATGACATTCATGGGATGTCATTTTGGTCCCCAGATATATGCACTTGCATATATGACCTACATGTGGAACGCAGTTTCCTTTGAAGAAAAGAAAGATTTGGCCACAATTACACACACATGCTGGTGGTGCTTCAGACCGTTTGTGTAGAGTGAATATGTTCACTGTGTACAAAACTTATTTACTGGGATAGACAAGGACACAGGTCTTCCAAATAATGAAAACTAGAACTAGAAAACAAAGAGGAGCCAAATGTATGAAAATGCAACATGGAACATACATCAAAAAGGCATCGATGGTCAACCAGTGGAGTGAACTGGGATGCGTGCCACCTCTACACAGTTTCAAAAGCACAATAACTAGACCGCCAAGATATAAAAACATCGGGTACCAATATCTAGGAGACACGGGCCGTATGAGCCAGATTGTACTCCTCTTTGACATCGAGGTAATTCCTTATAGCCAATACCAGACCATAACAATTTAAATCAAAATTCTGATTGTTATCCAGACTCTTTCCATCATTGACCATTCTACCCCAATGGTAGAGAGATAATACAGAGCACTGCATTAGCTAGAGGTCACGTCATGGAGGTCAGTCAGTCGTCGGCCTCGTCGCATCTCGGTTACTTTAAAAGGTTCTCTCTCCAAGAGTGGGAAACCAAACCATAATTCATTGATTGCAATACACAACTTATTCTAGAATTACCAATTACAACCAAGTCTTTTAACCCATTACAGTATAGCTAAAGTGCAACAGCTTAGAAATTAATTCTGTGTTGTATTAAAAAATACATAAACAGTTTTAACCAAAGGTTGTGTATACAAAATACATCGTCAGTCGTGTGCAATAGTTTCAGAGAGAGTGTAATCACTTATCAAAATAAGAGCAGCAGTCAAAAGACGCCCGAAAGATTTACTACCAACAGCTTCTATACAATATTTTTGTTTCGGATATAAATAGGTAGTGCACTCCATTGTTTTTTAGAAACTTAATACTGTATTATAGCATAATGTTGCATCTTCATCAAGGCGGCCCTGACACTTGTAGCGTCGAGCCCTTGTCAACCCTCAGCCTGGTTCTCTACTCTCCAAAGCAAATACCATCAAACCAACCCAGCAATGCCGGCAGTATCACTTTGGCTCATCTCAAATAATCAATGAACAAGTTGTGTAATATCTGCACATCTTAACCTCGGTGTGCAATACAATACCTGTTATGAATTAACGTATGTGCCATTCACTTCCAAATTTTTTTTAATACTGTACAGAAATATATATTAATTTTCCTATCGGCCTTTACAATAATCTGGGTTTTGTACAGTGAGGTGAAAAGGTGCCATAATATTTAAATTATTTTGCAATTGTAAAGCATGAAGATTTATTTCAGAAAATCCTTAACAAAATATTGGTCTATTTAATGAAATTTGCAGTAAAGTAGCCATAATACTGTGAACATGGACAAAATCCAAGAGTAATACTGTGAACATGGACAAAATCCAAGAGTAATACTGTGAACATGGACAAAATCCAAGAGTAATACTGTGAACATGGACAAAATCCAAGAGTAATACTGTGAACACGGACAAAATCCAAGAGTAATACTGTGAACACGGACAAAATCCAAGAGTAATACTGTGAACACGGACAAAATCCAAGAGTAATACTGTGAACATGGACAAAATCCAAGAGTAATACTGTGAACACGGACAAAATCCAAGAGTAATACTGTGAACATGGACAAAATCCAAGAGTAATACTGTGAACACGGACAAAATCCAAGAGTAATACTGTGAACACGGACAAAATCCAAGAGTAATACTGTGAACACGGACAAAATCCAAGAGTAATACTGTGAACATGGACAAAATCCAAGAGTAATACTGTGAACATGGACAAAATCCAGAGTAATACTGTGAACATGGACAAAATCCAGAGTAATACTGTGAACATGGACAAAATCCAGAGTAATACTGTGAACATGGACAAAATCCAAGAGTAATACTGTGAACATGGACAAAATCCAGAGTAATACTGTGAACATGGACAAAATCCAGAGTAATACTGTGAACATGGACAAAATCCAAGAGTAATACTGTGAACACGGACAAAATTAGAGAGCAACCATCTATCCATACATGTGTCTGATGCCTTGTGCCCTCTGGGATATACCTATCCTTAAGAAGACACCCATATACACCCACCTATTTTATCCATGTCTTCAAAGAATTTGTAGCCGAAACCAACAGTCAAGGACTTCCCCGAAGGTGTCTCGCCAACGTGAGAGTAAAGTGGCTACCACTTTCGTACACCAGAAAGCAAAGTCAAGAACGGCTCTCCGCACATCTCTAGAAATGTGAAAAGCATAAAAATGGAAAAAATCAAATTAAAAACCAAAGTATTCGATGACATTTAAATGCGCTGTATCAAGAAAATGAACCAAAATTGCAATGTTGTGAAATGAAACAAAGAAAACTTCAGCCATCTCAAAACAAGAAGTGTACATGGCTATGTTGATAAGAAATGATCAAGACTCGAGATGAACACCACAGTTAGGTGAATCAGGAGTTTACAGTATGCATTTTGTGTGGAACATTGAAATATTTTTTTTGTTTATTTTGAAGCTTATTTACATTAACATAAAAAGGACGGGGAGGGCAATGAAATATTAAGTCACAGCAAGATTCAATATGAAGCAACATTAATATCGCACTGTTAGTGCAGTCTGGTGCCGAGCTCAGTGGGAAAACTTTTCAGTTTATAAATACAGTAGAAAAAAAAAAAATGTAAGAGGCAATCACAATAAAATAAAACATAAGCTGGACAATATAAACTGTCATCCACACTCTCCGTGGAAGTAAACATTCCAGCCACCTGGGATCCAGGAGACTTGCCCCCACGGAATCCACAGTTCAAGTCTCCTACAGCCCAGGTAAATGGAGCCGAACGTTATGTTCAACAGTGTCCCGAATGTCTTGTGAGGAAGAGACCCGAATGCACCAAGATGCACGAGAAAGGCTCCAGAGTTGCCAATAACACACAGGGAAAGATTACGCCGGGCACAAAGTGCATTACGAGGACGGCTGCCATGATGGCCGCCATGAGTACAGCTGCCATGATGGCCGCCATGAGTACAGCTGCCATGATGGCTGCCACGTGTCGGTAATGGCTTAACATTAGGTACACCCAATGGCATCACATTTAATTAAAAGTGCTTATCTCCTTTGATTTTTTTTTTGGTTATCAAACGTGTAAATAACAAATTTTAGCAAAATGGTTCAACATAGGCCTATATGTAAAACCAAATTGAGAGAAAAGAACTGTCTGTGGTGCGTTTCTCTCATTGTGTATTAAAACTATAGTGAAATATAATGAAATAGTCTGCAACCAGGAGGCCTGGTCGACGACCGGGCCGCAGGGACACTAAGCCCCGGAAGCACCTCAAGGTAAATACAGAAACTAGTGTTCCATTAGTTTTTAAAGTAGCAGACCATAATGACATATACAAAGGAACTTTTGGCAACCAGAAACAATTTGAATACACCGAGGTGGCAGCTTGATATTTGTGTAGAGAGACTGCCAGAAATCACAACCAATAATCTTGTAATTGGTGCCCAAGACCAGTCCACATCTACATTATTGCAACAGTCCCATGTATAGTACAGTACTGAAGTTCTATCACATTTTGTCCATTTGAATAACAAACAAGAGTAACAGTAGATGCACTAAGTACATTAGTTTAGAGCACTGTCAACTTATTTATCTTGGGAACTAGATTTAAGGTGGTGGTTATGATGGAGGAGAAGGGACAAAAATAACCAAGGTACCGTACGTAAACATGCATCCGAACACATTCACAAAACCAAATGTTTTCTCGGATACGTTTGCATTTCTTTCTTTCCAGCACAAACCTCCTGCCTCGTACCTTAGTTCTGTACAATCTCGTATCCTAGAATTAATCATCACTTTGCATGGCCAAACCACACTTAAAATGTTTTTTTGTACAGTACATTGCACTGAAAGTCTACTTTAATTTAGCAGCCATTCCTTTCTATACACCGTATGCAGTCAGTCCGTTCCAACTGCACCCACCAACATTCTGAACACGCCAATAAATACATTAATAGCAATAATAAAAACCACAATAGAGAAACACATCTTTCTCCTGGTGGTCTCCTGGCTGCGGTCACTTTCTGTTACAATCTGTTGGTGCTCGATCACTTGACTGGTGCTCGGGCTCGAAAGAGTCCTTGTTGAAGAGTTCTCCAGCAGCTCAATTGTGTAGATTTGTGGAGAAAATGTATGAGCTCCACTTTGAGGAGGAGAAGGCAATGGCTCTGCTATTGCAGCCTGTGGCTGAAGATGATTTTGAAGTAGACTGCAGTTATAACAAGGAAGGCCTGAATAGCCACAGCCAGGTTGACAGTGGGGACCTGCCGGAGGAATGTGGATATGCGACACGTGATCCGAGTCCAAACGTTTTTCACACCGAGTCTGCTTGTGGCACTCGCACTGGCAACCTGAAACAGAATTTGGGCCTTGCTGGCAGTTGGTAACAGTGTCGTCATCAGTCACATCGGAAATCATCCCACACTGTACGCATACATCTTTACATGGATATGCTGGTGGTGGTCGGTCACTGCTAGTGCCATGGATCATGGCAACATTTGCACCACTTGTCTGATTGGTGGAATTTCCTCCCCTATTACTTGTACTAGATCCTCTTATGCTAGTGCTCGTGGTTTGTGTGTCCTCAGGGCGGTTGGCAGTAGTCGCCAAGCTCAACGGTGGAGATCCACTCATCCTCATAATGCCACCTTTTCTGGTGAAAGATAAGTTGATTTTCAGTATTGCATATTAATATGATGAACAGTATCCATTGGTACAACAATAAGTTAGGAGACAATCATTAACCAATTTCCTTCTTTAATATGAGTGGGGCAAGTAATATAGTAAATGAAGGCTACTGCTTCTAAATATTAACATTAAAATTATCCCTAATTCATTCATTATATAATTCTTGAATTCAACATTTAACATCAAGGATAAATGAGAACCAACATTCCAGCAGTCATCTGTAGCAGCAACCCAATGCTTAACAAGAAGCTCTAGCTAACTGATAGACATATGTATGGAAGATACTTGAAGACCAGGTCCCAAATTTGCACAGTAGAATAACAACATACTGGAGCAAAAGGTACAGAAGGAAATGCAGAATAGAACCAGTGAAAAGTAGAGGTGCCATAGGCACAATCAGAGAACACTGTCTGAACATCAGAGGTCCACAGCAGTTCGACACCCTCCCAGCAAGCATTAGAAATATTGCCAGAATGAAAGTGGATGTACTGTATTAAAAAGGCACTTGGACAGGTTCTTGTAAGAGGTGCCAGATCAACCAGGCTATAATGGATATGTGGGCCTGTAGGCCGCTCCAAGCAACAGCCTGTTGGATCAAGTTATCACAAGTCGAGGGGCCGGGCTCGGGGAGCAGAAGAACTCCCAAAACCCTCTCCAGGTATGCTTCAGGTAAGCTAATGCTAAAACTGAGCTGTACCGCAATAATTGTTTAAAAACAAAATCACAACTACGTACAGTACTATGTATGTACTGTACCAATAACAGTAGTTCATTACTGTCTTGGATTTTTTTTGTATGGAAAAATACACAATAGAATCACACACACAGAGATCACAATAATGTAATGCATCAAATGAACAAATCCATAAGGGCCGTGACGAGGATTCGTCGGACGCAGGTTCGAATCCTCGTCACGGCCCTTGTGGATTTGTACACAATAGAATGTTCAAAAAGGTTTTTTAAACCCAGTGCTTGGACCTGGTACATGTTGCTATCTGCCAGCAACAGAAAATGTGAACCGAAATGGGTACCACCCAAGATGCCAAAAATGCCAACCACTTCCCTTTAGGATAATTCTATTTCTATGCTCATTTTAGCACAAGGTACTATTGGAAAGAAGCAACCTAATAACAGTGAAATCTCTTAAGCATGGAGATTTGAACACCGTTTACCAATAAGTTATGCAACACTGTAGCCTGGAGCTAGCTACAGTGTTGGTGATCGGTTACACACTACAGCACAATGAATTACATTATCCATCTTCTTGAGGTTATCTTGAGGTGATTTCCGGGCTTAGCGTCCCCGCGGCCCGGTCCTCGACCAGGCCTCCTTTTTGTTACACACCCCCAGGAAGCAGCCCGTAGCAGCTGTAACTCCCATGGTATCTATTTACTGCTATGTAACAGGGGCATCAGGGTGAAAGAAAATGTTTGCCCATTTGTCTCCGCCTCCACTGGGAAACGAACCCGGAACCTCAGGACTACGAATCCGAAGTGCTGTCCACCCAGCTGTGAGGCGCCCGATGGGGGAAAAAAAAATACTTCAGAGGCCAGTTCAAACGGCAGAATTTTAACAGCATGACATATTACTGCATATTTCTGCCTCTTATCACGATCAGCTTGTGCTACAAAAAGTGAATATTTTTTGTTCATGTATACTGGTAATTATTTATAAGCACATTTATATACTGTATGTTTTAATTCATTGCATCATGGGACAGGCAGCCAGTCTATATATGCATGATATGCTTATATTGAGGTCCATTCCCACCCCCCAAGTTAACTCCTGGGGTACCTATTTACCAATAGGTGAACAGATGCATTAGGTCATAGGAAACGTACAGAACTATTTCTGTCCCGCCTCGGATTTTAATTTGGAATTTCTGATTGCGAGTGAATTTCTGATTGCGAGTCAAGATAAATAGAGGTTATATGTGTCTAAATACTGTATACATCACTAGCTATAAGAAAAGTTCCAAAAATTGTGCAATACAGTAGCAAATAGGATGACAATGGCTGGCAAGCCTTATTTTTTCATATTTCAAAATTCTAGACTTAGGAGGGAAACCAGACATAAGAGATACTGTGGAAAGTGTTTTTTATCTCAATAAAGTTGAGCAATACAGTAAAAATGATTAAGTTTATACAAAAATTAGGACAAATAATTCAAAATAGAGGTGCACTGATGTATCTAAATTTTCTGCCGATACCACTTTTTTTTTTTTTTGGCAACAATTGGATACAGCTGTGATAAGCTATTCTCTCATGCTTATACAACAAAGAACGATAAAGTTAAGCCTAAGACCAAGCATCAGCAATATAAAATATACCAAAGTAACTTTTTTTTAAACTACATAAAGCTGTGATATTTAACGATAATTCATTGTGTCGGGAGACTGGCAGCCAAGTTCAAGTATATTTATCGAGACAAGCAAGAAATACATCTCTAAGGGACAGAGTAGCTTAGGCTATTTCAACCCCCCCCCACCCCACCCCACTGGCAGCCAGTTTGTACATACAGTACATGTTTGGCTTATATCTAGGTCATGCCCCCATCCCGGGATCGAATTACTAACTCTCCCTAAGATGCAACCCCACAACACCCTGACTAACTCTTAGGTACTTATTTACTGCTAGGTGAACAGGTGCCTTAGGTGATAGGAAATGTGGCCAACCATTAATGTCCCGCCCGGGATTCAAACCCGGAATTCTCGGTGGCGAGTCGAGAACGAACCCGACTGTACTACCGAGACCGTTGATATCATATGACCTGTTGTCACAGACAGGAAGCTTGTATCTGGTTCCGAACCGAGAATGAAGACCACTGTGCTACATAACCCAAAGGGGGGACAAATTTAGGACGTTAAAGCTATCCTATCAGCATAGTAACTCCCACTGTAAGGGACAAAGCCTGTATATGTATCCTTCAGGCTTGCATCGACATCCCCCACCCACCCACAAGGTCGACCTACTGACCTTAACCACGATGCATTCCCCACAACAGTTGCCTAACCCCCAGCTATGTATTTAGTGCTAGGTGAACAGCGGCATAACGTGAAAGGAAACTTGCACAACCATTTCCGTCATGCTCGGGAATCGAACCCTGGTGTCCCAATTGCCAGTCAGGAATGACGTCCCATGTCCCAATTATTTACATGTCCTCCGGGCTAAGAACCAGAACGTTTTAGGGAGTTCTAAGCCCACCAGACATGTGTCTCAGCTTGATGCTTCTTTACACTTTAAAGGTAAACTGGTTAGCTCATTTGTGAAGTTTTCTGGCAAGAAGTAAGAAGTATTTTGTGCTTTCCAAGATGTTCTAAGAGCATCTACAGGTATTTGCCAAATGTTCTATCAGCATGTATTAACAAAATGTTCAAAGAGGATGCATTCCCAAATGTTCTAAAAGCATGCATTAACAGAATGTTCTGTAATAACACAATGTTCTAAGAATACGTATCAACAAAAATGCTCCAGGAACACGTATCACCAAAAATGCTCCAGGAACACGTATCACCAAAAATGCTCCAGGAACACGTATCAACAAAAATGCTCCAGGAACACGTATCAACAAAAATGCTCCAGGAACATGTATCAACAAAAATGCTCCAGGAACACGTATCAACAAAAATGCCCCAGGAACACGTATTAACAAAATGCCCCAGGAACAAGTATCAACAAAATGCTCCAGGAACACGTATCAAAAATGCTCCAGGAACACGTATCACCAAAAATGCTCCAGGAACACGTATCAACAAAAATGCTCCAGGAACACGTATCAACAAAAATGCTCCAGGAACACGTATCAACAAAATGTTCCAGGAGCACGTATCAACAAAATGCTCCAGGAGCATCTAAGAGACCACGTGGGTTTGTTTACATCTAGTTGCCGGGAAGCGTTTGTTTACATTGTGACGTCACAAACCAAAACATTGCCTCCAAAGTGGGCGAAAAAAAGCCAATAATCGCTACAAATCCACTTTTGGGGGGCGATTCGCCCCCTCCCCCATATACCGGAGCCCTCTCGCCCCCCTTACAGTGGGTTATAGGGGGTTATAACGTGGGTTGTGGCTTGTAAATAGGATTACAAGTACAAGGAGGCTCCAGTATATACCTTGTAGCTTTGAGTTGGTTACTGAATGTCCGCTCGCTTGACGTGTTCCTATACACACTCCTGTGGACACTGAGTGGATGATATAGGACACTGAGGGGATGATATAGGACACCGAGAGGATGATATAGGAGCTGGGACGAGGTCTGTCACACACACGCACATCTGCTCCGTCCCGCTAGACCCGTCTACTGAAGCTCCCGTCTCTAGCAGGGTTGCCAGATCCAAAATGCTAAAAGTAGCGAACTGACGGTCTGAAAGTAGCGGATTTGTATCAAGAGTAGCCCAATTTTTTCTATTATATATATATATATATATATATATATATATATATATATATATATATATATATATATATATATATATATATATATATATATATATATATATATATATATATATATATTCCTAGTTGATTCCTAGGATCAACGTCCCCAGGGGGCCCGGTCTCTGACCAGGCCTCGTGCAGTAAGTAGTCTAGTCAATCAGGCTGTTGGACGCGGCTGTGATTTGTACACATTACATTATAAAAGCATAAACATAAAACATAAATAATCATTGACTTTCTTAACATTAATAGCCCAACTTGCTTTTAAATTAGCCCAAAAAAGTCGCAAATAGCTAAATTTGGGAGCGCAAAGCTCTCAAAAGTAGCCCAATTCGCTACTTGTAGCCCAAGCTGGTAACCCTGCCCGTGTGATCCGTCGCCTCTGACCATCAAAGAAAACGTGTATCGCGTCCATTAAGAGAAAACGTATTTCAATATACTTTAAATATTTAAGTATCTGGGGCGAGATTCACGAAGCAGTTACGGAGACACGAACCTGTCCATCTTTTCTCAATCTTTGGCGGCCTTGTTTACAATTATTAAGCAGTTAATGAGCTCCGAAGCACCAGGAGGCTGTTTATAACAATAACAACAGTTGATTGGCAAGTTTTTATGCTTGTAAACTGTTTAATAAATGTAACCAAAGCCGTCAAAGATTCCGCCAAAGCCGCCAAAGATACACATCTTTAACCTGTTGACCAGACCACACACTAGAAATTGAAGGGACGACGACGTTTCGGTCCGTCCTGGACCATTCTCAAGTCAATCGACTTGAGAATGGTCCAGGACGGACCGAAACGTCGTCGTCCCTTCAATTTCTATTGTGTGGTCTGGTCAACATACTTCAGCCACGTTATTGTGACTCATCGCCTGCACATCTTTAACCTCTTGTGCCATCCCAATAAGTCCCATATACGACGGAATCCACCAATCCAAAAACCTTCCTACTAAGACACTGACACAACTAACAAGTGGACAAGCCAACGAGACCTCCGACTTAGCTGACCGTTATACGTCAGTAAATTGATTTGAATTCGAATTTGAATTTGAACGGCTAACGGTCCTTGCAGATGGCGCCGGAGGGACTGGTGGGGCTGTGGGCGGGAAATGGAGTACCGGCGCCGCCCACACCAGCACCATCACCACGCCCTCGTCTGCGCCTCCACACTCACCCTGTTGGTGGCTGCTCTCGTCCTAGTCGCTCTCCCCCCACGGTGAGTCCCCCCACAATGAGTCCCACGGTGAGTCCCACGGCGTCATACCCACGGTGAGTAATGACCTTTGGGTAAGTGGTAATCAAATTGATGGTAGTTTGTGGAGTTTGGCATTGATGCCTGTGGCAACATTTATTTGCAAGTGGGTGCATGTAGCTATGGCAACAGTTATGGCAACTGTTATGGCAACTGTTATGGCAACAACTATGGCAACTTTCATGGCAACAGCTATGGCAATATTTATGGCAACACCTATGGCAACATTTATGGCAACTTTATGGCAACACCTATGGCAACAACTAACCCCCCTTAACCCGCAGGAGATGGTGGTTGTGGTGGTACCTGGCCGCTGGTGTGGGGGTGGTGGTGGCCATGGCGGCGTGGGCGTGGTGGTGTGGGCGGCAGGTGGTGACGTACCGGTGGGCGGCCAGGGTAGTGACCTCTGCGGGCGTGGTGGGCGTGTGTGTCCTCCTCTCCATGACCTGGGTGGTGAGTTGCCCCCGCCACGAGGAAAGATCTACAGGTTTCGTAGTGGTGAACCTCAGTAAAGCCTCAATAAATGGCCCAGATTTGGTATATATGGATTTTCCCCCATGTCAAAATCTCTTATAACTGAGTAATATTATATTGTATTTATTGCATAATCTTTACTTCTGGAGACCTCTGGCAGGGTACCTCTGGCAGGGGTACCTCTGGCAGAGGTACCTCTGGGAGGGGTACCTCTGGCAGGGTACCTCTGGGAGGGGTATCTCTGGCAGGGGTATCTCTGGCAGGGGTACCTCTGGCAGGGGTACCTCTGGCAGGGGTACCTGTGACAGGGATACCTCTGGCAAGGGTACCTCTGGCAGGGGTACCTGTGGCAAGGGTACAGTACCTGGAGACCTCTTTCAGTGGTACAGTTCCACCATTCCCACAGGTGGTACCGGGCGTGGTGAGGCAGGAGGGTACGGGGGACCTGCAGATGGTACCGGACACTCCGCCTGCCACAGCGACGGTACGTCCAGCTGTTGCCATACTGGTTCAAGACGTCAACATGACGCTACCTATCCTCACTCTGCCTCTCCAGTCTCCCCCACACGATGCCGAGGTACAGTGATGGTACACTGGTGGTACAGTGATGATACAGTGATGATACAGTGATGGTACAGTGATGATACAGTGATGGTACACTGGCGGTACAGTGATACACTCGTGGTACACTCGAGGTACACCTTAAACACACTGAACACTCATCCATGTCTCCTCATAGAGGGTGAAATAACCACTAATGTGTCTCTCAGCAGCTGTGGGCGTGGGCGAGCCTGGTGTCTGTGGGCGTGGTGGCTGTGTTCCCTCGCGTGGGCGCCTGCACCAAGATGGTGGTGATGGTGGGCGTGACAGCCGCCCACGCTACCGTCCTTCTCCTGCACCAACACAATATTCTCCTCCACTTTCTCTCCAATAACTTCCACAGGTAAATCCCCTCCACCGTACCTTATGTGTCGGTACACACCCCCAGTGTCACGTGGGAGGTACACCCCAGTGTCACATGGCTGGTACACACCCCAGTAACACGTAGGTAACGCTACCTATAACCTATAATCTTCCTATAACCACATTGGATCCGAAATAATTCCCCGTCGTTTCTTGCAGCTTGCCGGGCGTGGCTTGGTGGATGGTGGTGGGCGTGCAGGTGGCAGCACTGGTGGGCGTACTGGGCGTGCTGGGGCGGCAGAGCGAGGCGCGCGCCCGCACACACTACACATGGGCGTCGCGAGTGGCCGTAGAGCAAGAGGAAGTAGAGAGAATGAGAGGCATTAACAAGGGTTTACTGGAGAACATGCTGCCATCTTACTTGGCTCATCGCTTCCTTGTCTCTTCAAACACCCCACAGGTGCGTCCCTTAGGGTCACTGTGGGACCTGAGACACCCGATGGCCGGGTCCTGGGGTCGCTGTGGGACCTGAAACACCCGATGGCCGGGTCCTGGGGTAGCTGTGGGACCTGAGACACCCGATGGCCGGGTCCTGGGGTCGCTGTGGGACCTAAAACAGCCGATGGCCTGGCCCTAGGGTCGCTGTGGGACCTGAAACACCCGATGGCCGGGTCCTGGGGTCGCTGTGGGACCTGAGACACCCGATGGCCGGGTCCTGGGGTCGCTGTGGGACCTAAAACAGCCGATGGCCGGGCCCTAGGGTCGCTGTGGGACCTGAAACACCCAATGGCCGGGTCCTGGGGTCGCTGTGGGACCTGAAACACCCGATGGCCGGGTCCTGGGGTCGTTGTGGGACCTAAAACACCCAATGGCCGGGTCCTGGGGGTCGCTGCGGGACCCGAAACACCCGATGGCCGGGTCCTGGGGTCGCTGTGGGACCTAAAACACCCGATGGCCGGGTCCTGGGGTCGCTGTGGGACCTAAGACCCAATATCGGTCCTCAAACTCCCACAGATCTATCTCTAGACTAGCTAAGGGTCCTCCAGAACCTCTACAGTTTCAACTCTCATATATATATTCCAAGAACGTAATCTTAGTTTCACACAGAGCTGCTACTCAGCTGATGACTGACACTAATTATCTCCTCATTCACAGACCAGTAGGAGAGTAGAGAGCTCTCTCCCACAGCTCTCTCTCTCCCTCTCCCTCTCTCTCACTCGTCTCTCTCTCTCCCTCTACAGGAACTGTACCACGAACGGTACACCAGCGTAGGAGTAATGTTCGCTTCCATCCCCAACTACAAGGAGTTTTACGACGAGACGGATGTCAACAAACAGGGCCTCGAGTGCCTTCGCCTGCTTAACGAGATCATCTGCGACTACGACATGGTGCGTTAGTTTGGCCCTTCTCGTTCGCCAATTAGCTGGCCTGTTTTGGGGGAAAAATTTCTGAGGGGTCACAGTCAGGTTACAGGTACCATTCAGAGGTCAGTTAGGGTATGCCAGTAATCAGAATTTACATTTTGACTCCGAGTTGTGAAAAAGTCTGTCGGGGGCGAGTTTTAGTCAATCAGGAGTCAACTCTAGGCAATCAGGAGTCAACTGTAGTTATTCAGGCATCAGCAGGGCCAGCATTAGACCAATCAGGATGGGGTTCAAGGGGTCAGCTTGGCTTCACACAAGGTGTAATTTGGGGCATATTTTGATAACTTGAGGATATTTTATGCATTTTCAAGGTCAACCCAGTGGGCAGATATCTTGTAAACGACGAGATATCACCATCAATAACATTAATTTAATATAACACGAGTCCCAGTGGGTGGGATAACCAAGAGAAACACTAATTAAACATTGAATTGCTCCTACTCTTTGATATCGTGGCCACTAGAACACGGGACAATTTGAACAAAAAATGAGAAGGAAAGGGGGGGGGGGGGAAGAGGATGTTGTACCTTTTGACAAGCCACCGGCCTCCTGTCCCCAGTGAGGCCACTAGATACATGGTGACCCCTAAGGTAAACAAGTCTGCGATTTTGTTTTCACCACGAAAACAATGCAGAGTAAAATGCTAACAAAGTTGATGTGGATTGTTTTGTGAGATCAAAAAACATCTTCGGTGTTTTGCATAGCACCTTCTATAATAATAATAATAATAATATAATAATAATATTTTATTTAGGTAAGGTACATACATACAATAAATTTTTACAAAGATTGGTTGACTTATAGGTAGAGCTAGTACATACAATGCCTAAAGCCACTATTACGCAAAGCGTTTCGGGCATGATAAACTTAAATGACAAGCTTAATACTAATTGAGCATAATGAGTAGAATGAAAACAAGAAATGAAAACATAGATGAAAAAGCAGCACAAATACAAATATGTCGACAAACAGCGCTCTTTAAAGAAAACCAGACATTGGTTGACAATAGAAGGGTAAGGTAGGTTACAGGGAATTTATTAGGTATAGCTTCGCTTTTAACTTAAACTGGTTGAGAGAGGTACAGTCTTTAACATGGTTGGGAAGGTCATTCCACATTCTGGGCCCCTTGATTTGTAGAGCATTTCTAGTTTGATTAAGTCGTACTCTTGGAATATCAAAACTGTATTTATTTCTGGTGTGGTGCTCATGGGTTTGTTGTTGTTGTTGAGATATATACAAGAGTTGTTACATTCTTGTAGAGCCACTAGTACGCGTAGCGTTTCGGGCAAGTCCTTAATCCTATGGTCCCTGGAATACGATCCCCTGCCGCGAAGAATCGTTTTTTCATCCAAGTACACATTTTACTGTTGCGTTAAACAGAGGCTACAGTTAAGGAATTGCGCCCAGTAAATCCTCCCCGGCCAGGATACGAACCCATGACATAGCGCTCGCGGAACGCCAGGCGAGTGTCTTACCACTACACCACGGAGACTGCCCCTGTTACAACGAACTTGTTCTGACTTGCTTGGATTGATTTACAAATTGTTTGGGTGCATATGGAGAACTTGCTTTGATTTATGAAGAACTTGGTTTAACATAATTTAATTGAATCAATTGTAATTTGTTTTGATTAATAAGAAGACGGTGATATTTATCAAATTTGTTTTAAATACACAACTTGTTTGTGTTTATATGTATCTTATCGCAATTTAACCTTTGCTTCGTGTAGCAGCCAAGGGAGGAACAAATGTTTTGCAGTCTCCGTGGTGTAGTGGTAAGACACTCACCTGGCGTTCCGCGAGCGCTATGTCATGGGTTCGTATCCTGGCCGGGGAGGATTTACTGGGCGCAATTCCTTAACTGTAGCCTCTGTTTAACGCAACAGTAAAATGTGTACTTGGTTGTAACAACGATTCTTCGCGACAGGGGATCGTATTCCAGGGACTTGCCCGAAACGCTACGCGTACTAGTGGCTCTACAAGAATGTAACAACTCTTGTATATATCTAAAAAAAAAATATTTTGAATGAGAAAATCTTGGTTCGGAGCAGGACGGTGGACGTCAAACCTGCGTCTTGAGATCATCTCAGCCTCACACTACCTCCAGCAAAAAAAATTCCTCAATAGATAAATCACGATCTTGTGATATTGATTGTTGCATTGTTTTGGTTGCAGCTGTTGCAGAAGCCTAAGTACAGCTTAGTGGAGAAGATTAAGACGATCGGGAGCACGTATATGGTGGCTTCAGGACTACACCCAGGCAAGGAGGAGGTATGGAGGTGTTACTTGACCTTGTTCATCCTCGAGACCTGGCTCGTAACTATTACACACTAACTCTAATCCACAAGGATCCACAAGGTCTTCTCTGAATACTTTTTATTTTCTTCTCCGAGGCTATGGGTCCCTACACCTGCACCAGAGGTGGTACCCTCACAACTATACTCAAAAAATACAATATATTATTGATCCTTATATCAGTATATTGCTTGTATAGCTGTTGAATGTATTCGTATATAGCGAATGTTGAATCTGTTTCATTAATATAACAATCAATACATTGAAATAAAATATTTTTCTCACGTTTGCCATCAGGACTTTGAAAATGTAAGTATTTTTTTGTGTGTATTTTCACATTCAATTTAGCATGAAATGTGTGAGTAATAAGTTTTGAAATGTAAATTCAGGTACCAGATTCAGGACAAAAATTGGTTGACATCTGGTCTTGAAGCCTGTTTGACCTCTGACCTCAACACCTATATGACCTCTAACCTAATATAACCTAAACCACTTATGCTGAACTTACCACTAACTGTTTCAGCTGTTAAACACCCTTGCTATAGGCTGACCCATTGAACCGTTTCACCTTTCATTTACAATTTAACAATTACCTCCATTCATGCTTAACATCTCTCAATTCCTATATCATTTTTGTTTTATTTACATGGATCCCTGATGCAGTCCCATGGGGCTTGTTTACATTTGGCCCCATGATGTTGTTCCATGGGGCTTGTTTACATTTGGCCCCATGATGTTGTTCCATGGGGCTTGTTTACATTTGGCCCCATGATGTTGTTCCATGGGGCTTGTTTACATTTGGCCCCATGATGTTGTTCCATGGGGCTTATTTACATTTGGCCCCATGATGTTGTTCCATGGGGCTTATTTACATTTGGCCCCATGATGTTGTTCCATGGGGCTTGTTTACATTTGGCCCCATGATGTTGTTCCATGGGGCTTATTTACATTTGGCCCCATGATGTTGTTCCATGGGGCTTGTTTACATTTGGCCCCATGATGTTGTTCCATGGGGCTTGTTTACATTTGGACCCATAATGTTGTTCCATGTTGTTTGTTTACATTTGGTCCATGATGGTGTTCCATGTTCCAGGCCCGCGACCGGACGGAACACTGCCTGGTGTTGCTGGTGAAATTCGCGCTAGCCATGGCCTCCGTCCTCGATGCCATCAACAAGGAGAGTTTCCAGAGCTTCAAACTCAGAGTTGGTAAGGCCAAACTCACTGTCTCTCTCTCTGTGTGCCTGTCTCCCGTCTACCAGACTGTTTGTGTGTGTGTCTGTATCGTCCTGCTGTTTCTATCTGGCTCTGCCTACCTTTATGCCTCTCACTATTCTCACTATCTCCATCTCTGCCTACCTGATTATTTTCATATCTCCACGTGCGTCACTATCAGCTTGCTTGTATACCTGTCTTTCTCCTTGCCTGTTTTCAGTCTCACTATCTGGATCTGTCTCACTCTGATTCACCATCTGTGTTACATGTCAGGGAGGCAGTATAGTGATGAAATGCATGACTTGATCAGTACACATTGTGAAGCAATAGACTAATTGCTTCAGTCTATTGCTTCTGAACAATCATGGCTTCTGACTGCTTCTGATATCTCCTTTACATTTGGTACCGGGGGAAAAATGGTGATTATTAATTAATTGTAAGGTCAGGTTCCTGCTGATGCAGTACCAACAGAACTGTTGTGAAACAGGTGAGGTCAAACAGTGGTCCTGAAGAACCACAGCATGTAGGCCTGCTGGAAGCATTTAGAACTGATCAACAGGAGGCCTAGGAGTGGAGAGAGGAGGCATTCAGTATCACCCAGAAAGTGAGATACTCCTTCATATGGTTGTAGCACAATTATCTTCTGCATGTCCTTCTACATCAGTACCCTTGTGCAGATGTAGAAAAACTTTCTCCAGGTAACCTATCATCATCTTAGCAACAGGTAATCTTCCATTACCCAGTACAGTGCAATAATAAACTACCAGTTTCTTAAGTGCCTCATCACCGGTACGCTGAGCCCTTCGACTCCTTTACAGGCTTGGCGCACGGTCCGGTCATCGCTGGGGTGGTTGGGGCCCAGAAGCCTCAGTACGACATCTGGGGAAACACCGTCAACGTAGCCTCAAGGATGGACTCCACTGGGCTCATGGGTAGGATACAGGTGTGTGTCCAAAAGCTGCTGGAGAAGCCAGTAATGTATCTAGTTCTCCCTTACTTGTCTCTCTGTAAAACATCTTCCCTACAGATGGTGTCTTGCAATTCCTCCCTCATTCCTTGATGGTCTTCTTGAGGGTAATCATCCCGGATCTTAACATGAATTTCTGTAATCGTAATCCATCTTAGAATGATCACACGAAGGGGTGAGCTTTTCCCTTGTCTCAATATGATCACTCATGCCCTTGTCTGATGTTAGTACAAAGTCTAGAATGGGGTTATCTTGAGTGGGCTCTGGCACAGGCTGTATGAGAAAGCAGTCCTATATCAGGTCAAGAAATGATACATATATATATAATGCATATATTCAGATGTTCAGCTAACATCTTCAGAATGGTAGTCAGATATATAGGGATATATACTGAAGTCTCAGATAGGGAGATGTTCAGTAGCATATATTCATTCTTACATAAGGACATAAGAATGAAGGTACTTGCAAAAGGCCTATTGGCCTACGCAAGGCAACTTCTATTTATATCCACCCAAACTCATTCATATGTCTAACCTACGCTTGAGACAATCAAGAGATACTATTCCTATTATGTTATGCGGTAATTGGTTCCACAAAACTCAACAACCCTATTTCTGAACCACTATTTACCCAGGTCAATCCTAACTCTAAACTAATCCAATTTATACCCATAAATCCGTGTTTCATTGCTCCTTTATGTTTCAGGTAACAGAGGAGACAGCCGCCATCTTACAAGGAGCAGGCTGGGCGTGTGAGTGTCGGGGACCCACTCTTATCAAGGGTAAAGGTACCCTAGTCACCTACTTCGTCTCCACCCCCTACGACGTTCCAGCCTCCAAGATCCGCACCACCTCCTCCTCGTACGCCCTCAGACCTGACGAAGGAGCTCTTCTCCGACAGGCAGCTCCTGTACCTTCGTCTGGGAATACTTCGCTTCTCGGAGGGCCCACACGCGCCAACAAGGAATCTGAATTGGATTCAGTTGTTTTACCCTTAGAAGGCGACACGCAGGCCGATAGTTCAGGCAGTTCACGCATCTCTATTCATGCCCCGACAGGTGGACGCAACTCGCTAGATCTGACAGATGCTTCCACAGTGGACTTAAGTCCACAAGTTTCCAAGGATGGGTTGCTTGCAGATGATTCTGGTCCCATTAAGAAGGTACTTGTTACTCTTAAAGACGGGGTCACTTCAAGCAGAGTTATCCATGGGGTGGTGATTGGCGATTATCCTGACAGAACCTTTATGCATAATCCTGGAGGTTACGTAAGAACAGAACCACAAGATGAGAATAAGACTCCGGAAACAAACTCACTTGCTAGCAATCAAGCGCTGAAATCGAGGCCAAGAACTCCAGGAGCCATGTGTGGGAGCCCAGGAGGCTGTGAGGTGGAAGGTTCAGTCACACAGCCCGGGAAACCTACAAGCTCCCAGCACCAGGAAGCCAACTCGCCCCAAACCCACAAGAGCCTGGTGGATGGTCAGGGAACTAGGAGTAGCCCTACATCTCCAAGGGATATTATAACAACACTTCAGCAAGAGACATCCTCATCTATAACCACAACACCTAACCAAGAGACTCCACCATCCACTACCACAACACCTAACCGGGAGACTCCACCATCCACTACCACAACACCTAACCGGGAGACTCCACCATCCACTACCACAACACCTAACCGGGAGACTCCACCATCCACTACCACAACACCCCACCAGGAGACCCCACCATCCACTACCACAACACCTCACCGAGAGACCCCACCATCCACTACCACAACACCCCACCAGGAGACCCCACCAGCCACTACCACAACACCTCACCGAGAGACCCCACCATCCACTACCACAACACCCCACCGAGAGACTCCACCATCCACTTCCACAACACCCCACCAAGAGACTCCACCATCCACTACCCAGTTGACGACGAGAGCAGGACTAACCCATAGAGCAATAAGTCTCGATAGTTCCCAGTTGCCAGGTGCTTCACTGTATGCAAGAAAAGAAGGCACTAATGTTTGCCCAGTGAAATCAGGCAACACATCAACTAACAGCAGCACAGTAAAGCATCCAAAAGACAGAATAGGTCCTCAAAATAGTTCCCAAGGGGGACTTAAAAGTGCAAAAGAAACTCTCTCCAAATTAAAATGTGAATATTTTGCTCCTAAATCAGAAAGTAAACATGAAAAAGGCGGGAATAGAGGAGAAAATAAAGCAGGTGATACATACATTCTCGTAGACACAAGAGACTTCGGCGAGTCCCACCTTACGTTAGAAAACGAATTTAGAAATAGTAAGGCAAATGACAAGTCTTTCAATGCCAAAGCAAATAGTAGTAAGAACGCTGTTAAAGATGAGCTGTTTAACAAATGTAGCGTATATGAAAATCCAGTGGACGGTTCGCAGACACGCAAAACACTTAATATAACCTCAAAAGAGGCCTCAATAATACCCCAAAATGGACACTTTGACAAGAAAATACCAGAAAACAGCAATGCCAGAGGGAAGAATGCCCCTAATCCTCACAGACCTCGCGACAAATCAGCCGTACTCCCCAAAATAAAGAAAGGGAAATCGGTCGACATTAGCTCATCTTCTGGGAAAAGTAGTAAATCAGAAGGTCTGCGGGGCACAGCGATTGTGAATTACGTTAACGAGAGTGAAAGTGAGAGTTCGGTAACCGAGGGCAAGGAGACAATAACTACGTGTAAAAGTGAACCGAAAATGAACACTTGCTTTGCCAAAAAAGCCGTCACCTTCACCAGTAGCGGATTAGCGAGGAAAAAAAGCCAAGTCTTTGTCTAATAACAACAAAATAACTTCATTCTGCCCCAAAAATATGAACTTCCAAATTTTCTCATATACTGGGAGATACTTATTGCTCTCCCAAGAATGTGAAAAACCGTTTTTAATACGTTTTTTGTTTAATAACAAAATATATTATAAACAGACCCACGACCACATTTTGTGTAGATATATGTGAATGTTGTTTCTTGACTTTAAGGTAGTACACATAGCATGTAACATTGTGTTAATTGAGGGTGTTTAACGCTCTCAAGATGACAACAACTCAACAGTTCTAACGAGTTTGAAGAGCTATCAGGAATTATCAATACTCAGGGTGAAGTGAACAAATGCATGTTCTGAAGGAGAACATGTGCTGAACCAGCTAGAAGCAGTGAGAAACACAGCATTTAAGTGTTCAATCAGCCATGAACAAGTACTGTTCTGTGGACAAAGTGAACAGTTTCAGTAAGGTTCATATTTGTGTGCCATAACATATGACAACTCATGCCCAGCAAACACAGTTTGATGAACAAATGAACAAATGCACACAAGAGCACATAGCACTGAACAAATTGCACAATCAGTCCAAATTGTTCCAAATTTGTTGTGTTAATATCGGTTATGTCAGCCTCAACTGCGACACTAAATGAAAATAGAACATTTACAAAATAGATAATAAAATTATCACCATATCTGTGAAAATATTTGTGAAAGTGAGATTTATTTAATGTATTATTATCTCCTAGGCCTATTATATATGTATATGTAATACAAGCCTAAACAATTACTAGACCTCAGCGCCACTCGTGATGTATAATACAGTAGTTTATAATTCACTATCACAACATATACATTATACACAGAGATAAATATATATACATTATCACAATTTGTGAATGAAAGTGGGAACTTTGAATATATATAATCATTTAGAAAATACAACCCAAGTGTGTTAAAAAAATATTATATTTATATACACGAAGAAAATTGAATGTGCAACAGAAATTTTGACAATTGATAATGTCACATATATTAAAAAAAAAATTCAGAATACAAAAAGAATGTCAAATCACTATACAATTCTGCTATATGAAGTTTAGATGAAAATGTGGATAGCAATGTAATGTACATAGATCACATGTGTACACACACATGTATGTCCATGACACATGTACGTATGTGTGTGTGTACATATGCCACATGTGTAAATTATATGTTTCAAAGTGTTTAGCAATAAGCTTTATCTTTAAGGATGATCTTAAAGATATATTTTACATATCAAACTGAACGTGACATGTCGTTATATTTATTAAAATATATTTTTTGAAAACCCTGCATTTTCTAGTGGGACTATTTTTTTGGTCTAAAATCTTTGGCTAACAGTAAGGTTCATGTTCATGGGAGCATTCATGTCTTCCTTGTACGTGCTGCTTGAGCAGAGTATGCATGATTGGATCGTTAGTGGACCATTGTATAGGCCTATACTATAGGGCATATAGGCATAGACCCCCCCTCCCCTCTCATGCATGCTGGTCTCGTCTGACCAATGGAAACTGTTGACCAGACCACACACTAGAATGTGAAGGGACGACGACGTTTCGGTCCGTCCTGGACCATTCTCAAGTCGATTGAGACTTGAGAATGTCTCAAGTCTCATTTTAAAAACCTAACCTTCTCAGATCTTCCCAAATAATGCCTTACTAGGCATAGATAAGACTATTCTCAGACTTTCCAAGAAGGCCTTGCAGGATAGAACAATTTTAACCTAAGTTATAACCTTTCCATAATGCCTCAGACCACAGACAAGGCTTAATCTTCAAACTTTCCTAACCTAAACTTCAAATGAGTATATAAGACAATTTCAACAACTCTGATGAGTCTGTTAAAAAAATTAATTTTTGTTAATATTCATGTATATGTCTTTTTTTCTGCTGGTGTGTGAGGTTGACGTATTATACAGAGCTTCTGAGGATATACATAGGTGTATGTATATAGTCTGACTACCTGTTCAACTTCAATTACTTCAGACAGATTGGAAACTTGAAATATATAATATTATAACCAGATATTTGACACTAGATATGTCAATGCAGGTTTGATCTTGCTTTCAACCGAATTGAACTCTACACAGAGGAGTCTTAACTAGTGTTTACTATAAAATCTATTGAGGGTAAAAAAAAAAACAAATCATATCTATTTTTATCTATATCTATTTTTCGATCACTTCCTGTTTTCTATGACACCTGACATTGTGGTTACTTTTTTGGGGGGAGACTTTTGTATATTATGTACAATACTTATATAGATGTATGCTTAAATGAGAATGTTTCTATTATATGTGATTTCTAGTATATAGATATATATATATATAGCAAAATGTATGATCTAGAAATGTGTATAATATGAGGTGTATTTAATTTGTGTGCAATAAAGAATAACACGAAAGAATATATGCTGAGGGTGTATATTGATGTTTATACAAAGAATACAAGGAATATATTAAAGTATAAGTGATTACTGTATGTTTATCTTCCACCCTTCAACTGTCTATGGACACCCGTCGTCCATACAATTATAATACACTTGTTTTCTTGTAGTTTTATATACAGGTGTGTGTATAACTGGTTTCTGTTTCCTGTTTTCTTTTTTTTTTTTAATCAACACTGTTTGTCAACCTATTGTATTTGTGCTGCTTTTTCAGTCATGTTCCCCCTTTTTTTATCTTTATTTGTATTTGTTCTCAACACTTTTTATTCTTTATGCTCAATTAGTATTAAGTTCTAGATATTAATGTTTTTCTTGCCCGAAACGCATTGCGTAATAGTGGCTTTAGGCATTGTATGTACTAGCTCTATCTATATATCAATCCATTAATGTAACATCACTTGTATGTATATACCTTACCTGAATAAACATCTGAATCTGAATCTGAATCTGTTTGCAGGCTGATACAATACAATACAATACAATTTTATTTAGGTAAGGTACATACATACAATAAATTTTTACAAGGATTGGTTGACTTATAGGTAGAGCTAGTACATACAATGCCTAAAGCCACTATTACGCAAAGCGTTTCGGGCATGATAAACTTAAATGACAAGCTTAATACTAATTGAGCATAATGAGTAGAATGAAAACAAGAAATGAAAACATAGATGAAAAAGCAGCACAAATACAATTATGTCGACAAACAGCGCTCTTTAAAGAAAAAAACAGACATTGGTTGACAATAGAAGGGTAAGGTAGGTTACATTACATTCTTGTAGAGCCACTAGTACGCGTAGCGTTTCGGGCAAGTCCTTAATCCTATGGTCCCTGGAATACGATCCCCCGCCGCGAAGAATCGTTTTTTCATCCAAGTACACATTTTACTGTTGCGTTAAACAGAGGCTACAGTTAAGGAATTGCGCCCAGTAAATCCTCCCCGGCCAGGATACGAACCCATGACATAGCGCTCGATACAGGTTATGATATAATATAGCTGATGGCTTTCCTGGAGTTCATGGTAAGCCTTACCCCTACTAATTTCCCCCTGGAACACAACCCGCCAATCGGTTTTACTACCAGGTTCATAATTACTGCTGGGTGAACATCAATTTATTCTTTATACTCAATTAGTATTTAAGTTTTTAGTCATTAATGTTTTTCCTGCCCGAAACGCTTTGCGTGATAGTGGCTTTAGGCATTGTATGTATTAGCGCTATCTATAAATCCATCAATTTATGTAAAATCTCTTGTATGTATGTATGTATGTATGTATGTACGTTACCTGAGTGAACAGCTGTGGATTGGTTCCCAGTCAATCCTCCATGGCTGTAGATATGACTTAGTATAATAATATAATAATACTTCATTGTGTTGGGGGACAGGAAGCCTGCGTGTATTCATACATTTTTGGCTTTTATTGAGGAATGATTAATGAGAGATATCTTCAATTAATTGAAAGTAAATATTTAACACCATTTAGTGTTGTGTCAGCAACTTTGGGTTGTTAGGTTGCATTATATTGCATTATATTGCATTATATTGCATTATATATATGTTATCGCATATATTGTATATTGTAGTTGTGGAGCTGTCATTAACAGTTCTTGACTGACAGATGATTACTACGTCACTGCCGATTATATTCCAAATGTTCCTCTGTTGCACCTGTTGTTCTGTTGTAACAGTTACAACAGAATGTTGTATGTGGCTTGTGAATTAGATTTTGAAATTAACAACTTCAAACATTGAAGCTGGAGATCATTATTGGTTCATTAGAGACTCGTTCGTGTGTGTGGAAGTGAAGGAGTGGCTGTTGGCCATTGTTAATTGACACTTCAGACTCGCTAAATGTTATAACCAATGGGGGGGTGAGTTTTAGGGTGAATGTCAGCCAATCAGCGGCCGGGTTTGGCTGGCTGCCGGGTATAAAAGGGAGGATGAGACGAAATGCATTTCAGTGTGTTTTACCTCACTTTTGGTATACAGTTCCAGCTTCGTCTATTGAAGGTGAGTTGTATGGTGAGGAGCCTTTTGTTGCGTCCCCCTCCCATTTGCGTCTCTAATGTTGCGTCCTTCCCCCTGCGCTTTGCGTCACCGTACTAGAATTAGTGAATTGTATAGGAGAAAAACTTGCCATAATGTCTTGCTTTGACGACTCTTAAGGTTACGTTAATTGGGTATAATGCTTCGTATGGCCCTATAGCTGACACAAACTGGCCTGTGACGCTCCTTAACCCTACTTATATTATGTCGGAGACTAGCCCTTAATGTCTGGCTTTGAACATTAATTCCGTTGAATTAAGGTTCAACCGAATAATTTGAACATTTCTTTACGTGTACAATGGGGTTACTAGTTTTTAAAACTTAAACGCTAGATTTAAAACTAAATTTCCAAAGTTTTTATTAACATGACTACCTAAACTCGGATGTAATTCTAGTAACTTATAAATTTTATACAAACCATGAACTAGGATGTAAAGATATCAGTCCATGATAATTGACGCATTATCGCTAAAAAAATATCAATGTCTTATATTAATCGTAAAATTGCTTTTGAGGTGGCATTTGTCGCTTTGTATCATTTCGTTTAGTGTAGTTGTAAAGTTACAAAGTTAATGGTATAATTAGACATTAACGACAGCAAACTAGCGGTTCGTAGTGGTGCAGTTGTCAGCGCCTCTGAGCTGTAGACAAGGCAGTCAGAAGCTAGAGAAACTCGTTTGAGGCACAATTCAGACGCTAGTCTCCGGACACTTCCCCCACAGTGGATTGATCTAGCAGTTCAAAGTTTGATAATGCACAGTATAGCCGGGCACGTAGTGTTCTAGTTAGGACAATATTAAATTGTTAAATAGATGGTTAAGATTTTAGTGTAACCCGACTGTCTTAAGTCAGTTACTAAGGTAACAATGATTCTTGTAAGTCTCTTGCTTGGCACCCCCTCTCCCCTCATAACTTTCTAGTTTGACTGATTTTGAGTCTTCCTCAAACATCTAGGGTTATCTAGACCTAAAGACTAAAGGCTTCACAAAGTTTATCTTGGCTAACCGTAACGTACTACTAACTTAAACTTTGAAACGCTAGTATCCTGTTTGACTAGTGTAATTAAGAAACATTAAATAAAATTTTTACCTTGACTGGCCTTATTAAACCCTGGTGCCAGAAAGTCTAAATGAACTTTAGCCTTAAATTGTATTAATTTAAAATTTCCAGGATGCTTCTGCTTAAAATACTGGTATGGGGGGGGGGGGAGGGGGGTCACTGGGGACCTACATGGCGCCCCAGACAGCTCCTTGGTGTTGGGGATCTTCGCCCCCTGAACAAAACCAGTTGTCGGTACTGGTTTTTATATCTTATCCCTTTCCAAAAGTCGTCCTTCAGGGGGGGGGGCGGCGAAGAGTAGCTACCGTTCTCAAAAGAACACTAACCAGTATCAAACTTTCCAGTTCAAATATTAAGTCCAACAGTCCAGTTAGAGGCAGCTATGTTCTTCCAAACACCTTCCTGCAGTTAAGGTATCCGATTGTGTGGGCTGTTAAGACCACAACTACACTATTCCTGTAGAATACTTGGACATGGTAAGTCTTCATAGTTAGATTTGGTTTCTTTAAATGGAATCATACCAGTGATGTGCTTTAGTAAATTGTAGGATAAAATTCTATAAGATTCTTTTGGCCCTCACTTTTATTTTTAGTGTTTCAGATACGTGAATCCATGGCTGCTAAGGAACTCTTCATGGTGCGCGAATACTATTACCTACAACTGGGATCAAGGAAACTATTACTGCTAAAGTCTTGGCAGCGTCTTGTAGCTAAATAACAGACAAGGAAGACAAAACATCGTTACCGCCAGAAGCGAGTTTACTAGTTATTAGCGTTTTTAGTTATAAATTGATGTACGTAACATGATAATCCTGCTGAACTAAATGTTTACTAAATGGGCCAAAATGTCTAAAACAATGTTATTTGTTAGGTGGGATCCTGTTCATATGGACCAACAGCAACGAGCGAGGCAGGACCTCCTGGAGGCGGCCATCTGGGTGCTGTACTACTCCCCCCCCCCCCCCCAACTGGTCTCACACTGGAAGGTTAGTAAGGCATGGTTTTTAATTTATTAATGCCTTACAGCAGTCATAACATACAGGGTGCTCGGTAGACTAAAGTCCAGGTTACTCATAAGGGCTTCAACGTCTGTAAAAATGATATTTAAGTATATCTTGAGGAATATAATCTTGTCTCTCCCGTTTCCAGGTTCGGGTGTCCACCGTCAGAGGACAGAAGGCAGAGAGGACTTCTGGGTACTGAACACCTATAACATGGTGGGAAGACATGCCCTGTCACCAGACATCCGCGACAGCAGTCTTTCATATATTTTTTGTCGCTCCCTCTCCCATTTTTTTAATGGGAGGGGGACTGCAAGGGGTCAGGGAATCCTGCACACACACACAGTTAAACTTCCAGAGACGAAGCTGGAACTGTATACCAAAAGTGAGGTAAAACACACTGAAATGCTTTGTCTAATTATCCCTTCTATAACCAGGCCAGAAAATGGGCCTAGTTTCCTGTATGGTAAAATATTACAATTTAAAGTAGCTCATCTTCTTGAATCCCTTAACCAGGTCTCTAATGCTTGGAGTCTACACCACTAGCCACTAAGGACCTGAACAGTGATTGCTTGGCTATATTTCTTTCTACATAACTGCATTCTATATTGCGACCAATATAGAGTCTGGTAGAGTAATAAATCTTATTAATTATGCACATCATAAATGCATATTTATAGATGGAACAGATTTGTCCTTTCTTTTAGGAAAGATAATAAGGGGGGGGGGAGAAAAGCTAAGCATGAGTCTAATAACTTAAAAAAATTTCATTGGCAACTTCAGAGGGACTTGTTCCAAATTTGTATGAACTCTAAAAACTGAGCATGTGTGAATCTCCAGCTTTTTAATCACTTAAACGAAGATTTCCCCATTGGTAATGGGTAGCCTTTTTACTGGGTGAATTTCTACTTTAATTCAAAATAGCAAAGATGCAAGAGGCTACCACAAACAGCCTGGCAACACGAATAACATTTCGTGAATGGCAGATTACTGAAGCCTCGACTAGTTTGTGGCCAGCCACTGAAGGGTAGTGGCTCATGTTGAGACGGGCTGAAGCCAGGGTATAGGTGCTGGGAGCTACCTTGAGGTGCTTCCGGGGCTTAGTGTCCCCGCGGCCCGGTCGTCGACCAGGCCTCAAGGCTGCCATTCAGGCTGCCACCTGAATGGAGAAATAGGTTGGTAAACACGCCCGTTCGTCTCCTGCGTTGTTCACTTGTCGCTGACTAATTCCAGCAGCCTTACCTGAAAGAGGCTGGTGCTACATAACCTTACTGGTTTTGTGCCTTCTTTTGATAATTTCTTACTACTTTTGATAACTAAGCTTGACTAAGAGGTACCACCACTAGTATAAATACAGGGACCCATAGCCTCTTAAAGAAAATAGAACTTGTGCCTCTGATTTTCTTCAACACTTATTTTATTTAAAATTGCATTACACAAAGGGTTGGAACATTGGTTACATGCACGGTATAAGGCTACTTGTCACAGGTTGGTTCCTCGTATGGTGGGCAGGAACCATGTATGCAGTGAGCATATCCTCTCTGGATCGCCAAACAAAGGCGCTGATGGAGGAAACTGGCGGCTCTAGGGGTCTCTAGTTTCAACAAGCTTAGAACCCAGCTCCTTTTAAGAAACTAGCAGCACTTTTATCCCAGGCACCAAGTGTGTCAGAGGCAATGGGGACAAAATTGTAGATATAAGGGTCTCCGTATTTACGAGACTTCGCTGCTTCCCGGTGAATGGCAGCACCTTCCTGTATAGCGCAGAAGTTAACATAGATGTTCAACCCGTTCTCGCACTTTCGTATAGTCAATTTTGACTTATTAAATACGTGCATATGTGACATACTAAACATACTAGTTTACCTTGAGAAGCTTCATAGAAAACACTGACCTTACCTAACCTTCATAATGTTAAGATAAGCATACTTATTGCTTCGTAATTACAATTATTACTTAACCTATACCTATTATAGGTTAGGTAATAATTGTAATTACGAAGCAATAAGATGCTTATCTTAAGATACTAACAAGGTTAGGTAAGGTCGGTGTTTTCTATGAATCTTTTTAAGTGTATTATGTTATGTCACCTATGCACATTTAATAAGTCACTATTGACTTATTAAATTTGCGAGAACGGGTTGCTTATTTGAGGTAGTTATTGGCAACCTTAGTGATATCTCTGATTATTCCTCACATGTGACGGTGCTACATAGCCTTCCCGGCTTGGTGCCTTCTTTTGATAATTAATATCTGATTAAATTAGAACTTAGTGCCATCTGGAGTAAAGTTTTAATCTAATTTAACTGGAAACTAAACCTCTATAGGTCACGTCTCCAGATAATTTGATCCGTGGAGCCTATTAGTGGAGCTAATGAGTGGTTTCATAGCCCCTATTGATAATTAAGACCAGGTTAACTACTGTAGGGCTGTCATACGAGGCAGTTAGACTTGACTCTTGGCAAGACTTGTCAGTACTAACCAAGAGTGCTTACCACACAATGTCAAGTTTCAGTGGCATTACTGAATAAAAGATGATGTACAGAGAGTTAGGGATAAGTCAGACTCCAAAATCTAGTTCTAAACTAAACCAGATCCAGGTTGTGGGATTAGCATCATCTAACACCCTATAAACAGAGACCGGGCCGCAAGAACATTGTACCCAGCAGTACAAATCACATTAAACAAGGTAGGATAAAAATGCCAGTGTTTGAGGTACAAATTTATTATTGAAATTCAAGGTTTTGAGTAGAGAATCTGCTCGAGGAGTTATCAGCAAGCAAGAACTTGGACCTGAGAAGCAGAGCCTCTTTCATCCGGTCGGAGATGACATCTCTTGTCTGGCGGAAGCTGGCCGGACCTGAGGACGAGAGAGAGTTAACATTAGAAAAGTTAAGTTTAAAAACTTATTTACACATTTTTTCCGTTACGTAAAAACAGTTTATTAGGCTTTCTTTAGACACTGGTAACCTTCACTACCACCCCCAGGATGGGTATGGGGTCCACTACCACCCCCAGGATGGGTATGGGGTCCACTACCACCCACAGGATGGGTATGGGGTCCACTACCGCCCACAGGATGGGTATGGGGGTCCACTACCACCCACAGGATGGGTATGGGGGTCCACTACCACCCACAGGATGGGTATGGGGGTCCACTACCACCCACAGGATGGGTATGGGGGTCCACTACCACCCCCAGGATGGGTATGGGGTCCACTACCACCCACAGGATGGGTATGGGGTCCACTACCACCCCCAGGATGGGTATGGGGTCCACTACCACCCACAGGATGGGTATGGGGTCCACTACCACCCACAGGATGGGTATGGGGTCCACTACCACCCCCAGGATGGGTATGGGGTCCACTACCATGGGGTCCCCCCAGGATGGGTATGGGGTCCACTACCACCCACCCCAGGATGGGTATGGGGTCCACTACCACCCCCAGGATGGGTATGGGGGTCCACTACCACCCACAGGATGGGTATGGGGTCCACTACCACCCCCAGGATGGGTATGGGCGTCCACTACCACCCACCCCCAGGATGGGTATGGGGGTCCACTACCACCCCCAGGATGGGTATGGGGGTCCACTACCACCCCCAGGATGGGTATGGGGGTCTACTACCACCCACAGGATGGGTATGGGGGTCCACTATCACCCCCAGGATGGGTATGGGGTCCACTACCACCCCCAGAATGGGTATGGGGGTCCACTACCACCCCCAGGATGGGTATGGGGTCCACTACCACCCCCAGGATGGGTATGGGGTCCACTACCACCCCCAGGATGGGTATGGGGTCCACTACCACCCCCAGGATGGGTATGGGGTCCACTACCACCCACAGGATGGGTATGGGGTCCACTACCACCCACAGGATGGGTATGGGGGTCCACTACCACCCACAGGATGGGTATGGGGTCCACTACCACCCCCAGGATGGGTATGGGGTCCACTACCACCCCCAGGATGGGTATGGGGTCCACTACCACCCCCAGGATGGGTATGGGGTCCACTACCACCCACAGGATGGGTATGGGGTCCACTACCACCCCCAGGATGGGTATGGGGTCCACTACCACCCACAGGATGGGTATGGGGTCCACTACCACCCCAAGGAGGATGGGTATGGGGTCCACTACCACCCACCAGGATGGGTATGGGGTCCACTACCACCCCCAGGATGGGTATGGGGTCCACTACCACCCCCAGGATGGGTATGGGGTCCACTACCACCCCCAGGATGGGTATGGGGTCCACTACCACCCCCAGGATGGGTATGGGGTCCACTACCACCCCCAGGATGGGTATGGGGGTCCACTACCACCCCCAGGATGGGTATGGGGTCCACTACCACCCACAGGATGGGTATGGGGTCCACTACCACCCACAGGATGGGTATGGGGTCCACTACCACCCCCAGGATGGGTATGGGGTCCACTACCACCCCCAGGATGGGTATGGGGTCCACTACCACCCCCAGGATGGGTATGGGGTCCACTACCACCCCCAGGATGGGTATGGGGTCCACTACCACCCCCAGGATGGGTATGGGGCCCACTACCACTCACAGGATGGGTATGGGGTGTCCACTACCACCCACAGGATGGGTATGGGGTCCACTACAGGATGGGTATGGGGTCCACTACCACCCACAGGATGGGTATGGGGTCCACTACCACCCACAGGATGGGTATGGGGTCCACTACCACCCACAGGATGGGTATGGGGTCCACTACCACCCACAGGATGGGTCCACTACCACCCCCAGGATGGGTATGGGGTCCACTACCACCCACAGGATGGGTATGGGGGTCCACTACCACCCCCAGGATGGGTATGGGGTCCACTACCACCCACAGGATGGGTATGGGGGTCCACTACCACCCCCAGGATGGGTATGGGGGTCCACTACCACCCACAGGATGGGTATGGGGTCCACTACCACCCCCAGGATGGGTATGGGGGTCCACTACCACCCACAGGATGGGTATGGGGGTCCACTACCACCCACAGGATGGGTATGGGGGTCCACTACCACCCACAGGATGGGTATGGGGTCCACTACCACCCCCAGGATGGGTATGGGGGTCCACTACCACCCACAGGATGGGTATGGGGGTCCACTACCACCCCCAGGATGGGTATGGGGTCCACTACCACCCACAGGATGGGTATGGGGGTCCACTACCACCCCCAGGATGGGTATGGGGTCCACTACCACCCACAGGATGGGTATGGGGTCCACTACCACCCACAGGATGGGTATGGGGTCCACTACCACCCACAGGATGGGTATGGGGTCCACTACCACCCACAGGATGGGTATGGGGTCCACTACCACCCACAGGATGGGTATGGGGTCCACTACCACCCACAGGATGGGTATGGGGGTCCACTACCACCCACAGGATGGGTATGGGGGTCCACTACCACCCACAGGATGGGTATGGGGTCCACTACCACCCACAGGATGGGTATGGGGGTCC